TCATTCATTCTCTCTCTCTCTCTTTCTCTCTCTCTCTCTCTCTAGCTCATCACCAAAACAAACTTACTCGTAGATTTTTTCTATGCATCTGTAACAAAAGCAGAGTGTGAAGGACACATTTTCTAAAGAATAAAACGAGGAATCATTCAGTCGTAGATGACAGTTTCTAAAAAAAGGAAAAGCGTCCCCTTATTTAGCTCTGGAAATGGTAAGCGGCATTATTTCTTCATTTTGAATGCAAATAGATCTTCGAGCCCTTTGCTACATTTTATACTGAATATTCTTTTTTAAATAATAGCGAGCTAGAAATTCTCATAAGAAAAATAAAAATACCCATCGCAGACTCATTTTTCATATTGCAACTGAGCTATAAAATTAAGAACGCGTTTCTGAGAATCACTCGCTTTCACTATAGAAATACGGTTACTTGCACAAATCACGCATGCGCAATGTTTTTGTGTCGCGAGATTTTCAATTGCGAAATGACAGTGAGACGTTTCTTTGTTTCGCTTCCTTTTGTACTTGTCAGCATAGTTTAATACGTATTGTTAATCTCCTGTTACTTTGATGCTTTATCTGCTCGCACGCGCGTGCCTGCGTGTGTGTCTGGGGCGGGGGTAAAGTGTTGAGCGGTTTCCGATATTCAGTTAGAACATATACGTCCTACATGAAACGACGAATAAAACGACGCATTGTCAGCAAGCAGTCGATGGCTAGTCCAGCCCCTTACTACCGGGATCCCGTTTACAGGAATCAAATTCTTATTCTTCAGCACGTGGGTGATCATAGCGCTCCACGATTTCCTATCCTTTGTAGTTCTTTGTATGATTTGCCGTTTCATTGTCGCTTCTTGTCCCTGTGTTGAAAACCATTTTCACAAGCGCGATATGTTCGGTTCAGCGCTGTTTTCCTCTGTCCCGGCGGTCGTCAATATGCCCTGTGAGTGTCAATTTCGCCCAACCCTCTTTCCTTATTATGTGTCCTAGAAATCGAGTGATTTTTTTCTGATTCTAAGTACATTAGAAACCCTGACAACCGAACTGAGAAACCTTTCCGGTATGAGGAATTGGTAACATATGAGGGGTCATATTTAGATTAAAACAAAAGAACTGAAATCAGGTTTAACATTTATTTTCAGTGTTTTATAGTAAACAAAATAAGTTAACGGTGAGTGAAATATAACGGAATTGATTTTAAGGAAAAAGAAAAAAATTATATAATGTTAATGAAAATTCATTAAATTAAGTATGCCACGTATGCAAAACAAATTATGTAACGAGGATTTTTTAATCGATGTTGCATGATGATTCTTTCTCTTCTAATATCATTCTCAACTTTTTCCGCATTTCATTTTGCTTTTGTTCTTGAAATTTTTAAAACGAAAGACAATTTTTAACTCTGCGTGGGTTATTGCAATCGTAATAGCCGGATGCTGGTTTTCTTTCCATAAAACTGACAACGTTCTCAATATCTTTTTCAATTTCAGTCCAGGTTTCATCACAGTCATGTATCTCATTGCTATCTTTTTGCAGATGTGTCTTGTTGTCATCCTTTCCTCTTATTCCCATCATCTTTTGCACCAATACAAGCCATTAGGGTGAAATAAGCATAAGCAATTATCCAAAGTAAATTTCCTGACAAACAGAAATTTCAAATCAATTACATATCACCCAAAATAGTTCAAATATCAAAATCATGTCCGGATATGCGGGATTCCGGATATGCGGGATTCCGGATATGAGGCACTGCGGATATGAGGGATTCCGGATATGAGGTATCTACTGTATAAGCGTTCATTTTCTTTCTATTTTCCTTAATATTTATTGATTATACGCTCCATCCGTGGAATTTTCATCATTCTCGAGTGGAACCAGGTCTCTGTTAATTCAAGTCGCTTCGTTATCTGTGAGGAAGTTGTCCAGCATTCACTTCCAGAACTCAAAAAATCGATCAGTGGAGTCAAAATGACAATATGGATTTTTATTGATCGATAGTGATCGATTCTTGACTGATGATTAGAGACAATGTCGGTTTCACGTTTCGGCTGCTCTTTTGAATGAAGAAATGTTCTAGAAAGATCATTACAGGTAATAAAACGTATCTGAATACGATATGGAAGCAAAAAACTAGAGCAGGCAGTGGAAAACAACGTATTCACTTGGCCCGAATAAAGTACGTATGCCTCACCTGCGTTTCAAAACCGTGTGTGTGTGTTTTTCTTTGAACCAAAGGGGGTAATTTACAAATGGAAGTGCTCAACGGCCTACAAGAATCACTTGAGGAAAAAACCTGAATCGTGGGGCGACTAGTCGGATAACAATTCTCTCTACACATGATGCCTTAGAAGTTCGCGAATCCCTGATTTACAAAAACCTAACAAACATAAAACTTTATTCAGTGAACTTAGCTAAGTTTCTTGACCATTTAAAAAAATTGAAAAATGCCCTAAAAAAGAAGAAGAATGGTGTAGCTAATATTAGCTGTTTCTTTATTGAAAAACCTTCGTCATTAATTGTACGATCAACCAATAATACTCTCTGGTTAAATTTATAAATTCTTATAATTAAAACAATTTTATGAAAATAGACTTCCTAAGTCCAGTAACTGTTATCGTTCTTTCCAGTATTAACGCAGGGTTTCCTTCCTAACCTTCTGTTTAAAGTAGTGTGGAACATCAACATCTTATGTCATTATTTTCTCTTCAAGATACATATGCTATCCATTTTAGTTGTTGCTGCTGTTGAAAGTTTCTAATATTTGGTAGAGTTCTTTGTGATTCTATTGCGCCAGCACATGAGATATGATAAAAGGAGAGCCCCTCGCGTCCATGTTAGCCACCAACACCTGACAAGATTACTGAAAGGTTTTTAGGAACGCATTTTCCTAAAATGTTTCCACCAAGTATACTATCGTTACGTAAAGTGCACAGCTTAAAAAGGGGAATATATGATGACAGTGACATCAATCACTTGTGGTCAGATGAGCACATTTTGCTTTCATAGGGGTATTTCTGGAATGAATTTATCACACCTGGAATATGCAAAGGTTGCAGGAAAGTTCTTGTGACAACTCACTTCCAAATACCTGAACGCTTTCTTTTTCTTTCTCTTTCTTTCTTTCTTTCTTTCTTTCTTTCTTTCTTTCTTTCTTTCCTCAGTGTTTCTTTCATTCTTTTTCTTTCCTGTACTTTCTCGTTTTTTATTTTCTTTTTTTTCTTACTTTTCTTTCTTTTTGTATTCTTTTTTCTTTCTTGCTTTGTGTTTTTTATTTCTTTCCTTTTCATTCTTATTCTTTTTCATTTTAGATTTTTCTTTCTTTCTCTCTGTATTCCTTCATGCTTTTATTCATTTTTTCCTCCCTGTTCTTTCCCGTTTTATATTATCTTTCTTTCTTTCTTTCTTTCTTTCTTTCTTTCTTTCTTTCTTTTATTTCTTTCTTTCTTTATTTCTTTCTTTATTTCTTTCTTTCTTTCTTTATTTCTTTCTTTCTTTATTTCTTTCTTTCTTTCTTTCTTTATTTCTTTCTTTCTTTCTTTCTTTCTTTCTTTTGGTTATTGTCTCCTTCTTTTTCTTTCTTATTCTTTCTTCTTTTGGTTTATTCCGTTTTTTTCTTCAAACATCAGAATTTTGGGACATTTTTTTTTCTTTTAGTCGGGAACAGGAACTGTCAAGACAATCTCTTTTATCGCGTGTAAAGACAATAAAGATAAGATTGAAATCTTTTCCATAAACACAAGCTAATGATATATGAAGCTGGCTGTGCATATCATTGTATTTGTGTACAGTCGTATTCTTTCTTGATGCCGTCTTTTCTGGCTCTATCTCAATGTCAAATCACAGTTACTTCCCAGTATCTTGCCTACTTCCTTGAAATCTGTATACGCGAGTCGACATCAGGCTTTAAATCTTCCTACAGTCGTACTCACATTTTTACAAGGGCAGTGAATTGTAAGGTTCTTCATAAGTAAATTGAGTGATACGTCCACAAACGAACACACACACACACACACTTCATTTGTATGCTCTATAATAAATATATTGAGCTCTCATTTGTGGATCAGTTTTAATATTTTATATTAATAGGATTCACTTGGATTGTTTATACACGCATTTTTACCTATGCATATATATATATATATATATATATATATATATATATATATATATATATATATATATATATATATTATCCATTATCTTGCTCTGTTTAATCAACACATTGACCTTTATTTGTGAATCAGTTTTAATATTTAATATTTTACATTTTAGTCTGTATTAATATGATTCACTTGGATTATTGGATTATATAACAAAGGATTATTACATATCAATATATATATATAAATGCGATAGATTTTTTAGGTGTTTCACATGTTCTAACTGGTTTGCTCAATATTGTTTTAATACAGGCAGGTAGGGAGTTGTCCTCTAAGAACCTGGTTTATCTTCGTGATTTCCTTTCGGTTACGAAAGACAAATAACTAGCCTGAAGCAAAGAATAGAAAATGTCAATGTTCAATGTTTTGTATCAAAGAGTATTTGGGAAAGAAAGAAAGAAAGAAAGAAGTTATTAATGTCTTCTGCCAATATCTCATAAATAATGGACAAGCAAAAAAGACACTACTTGATGAAAGAAAGAAAGAGAAGCAGAAGACTTTGAAAGAAAGAAAGAGAGAGAGAGAGAGAAATGAACGAAGAAAGGAAGAAAGATTGAATGAAGAGAACATCTTCGAAAGAATGAAATATTAAAAAGAGAAAGAAGATTTTAAAAGAAAAAAGGTAAGCGATAAAAGAAAGAAAGAAAGAAAGAAAGAAAGAAGTTTTTAACGTCTTCTGCGAATACCTCATAAATAATGGACAAGGATAAAATCACTACTTGATGAAAGAAAGAAAGAAAGAAAGAAAGAAAGAACAACTTGATGGAATGGCGAGTCGCAAAGAAAATAGACACAGAAAATAGAAATTAGAATTTTTTTTTTAAAATCTAAATAGGAAAGTCAGTTAGAAGTAAGAAAGAACAGAAAGAATAAACAAAAAGAAAGAAAAAGAAATTCTAGGGGAGAACAAACGGAAAATAAAAAGAAAGAAATAAAATCGACAAAGAAAGAAAGATCCTAAAACAGAGAGTACAGAAAAAGAAAGAAACAAAAACATCAAAGAAAAAGAGAAATAATATTTAGTAAAAAGAAAGAAAAAAAGAAAGAAAACACGAAAAGATAACGAAGCGAAATGAAAAAAAAAAGAAAAGAAAGGAAAAAAGAAAGAAAATACGAAAACAGAAGGAAGGGGGAGAAACAAAAGCGAAAAATACAAAAGTGAAAAAAAGATTCTAAAGGAGAAAGAAAAATGAAAAAAGATTAATTGATTGAGTCATTTTCTACGGTTTATCAACCCTTTGCTGCTACTTAAAGCGAGAAAATAATGTTTAGATTTTAAGAAAAGTAATGGGGCTAGATAATAAGGGATTAATGATACCAGTCTTACTAATTAACTCATAACTAGTGGAAGACTATGGGATTCATATGCTTCCCAAAGGTATTTTACACGTAAGGGAATATAAGAAACCCCAAATGGAATTGAAACTTGGATCTCTGATTAACAATTCCTAACCATTACCTGTACATCACCGCACATTCTAAGCTTACAACATTTAGTACTCCCAAACGATCACCCTTCTACTTACTGACCAAGCTCAACGTTGCCTACCTTCGGTGATCTTACGGGAACTGGTGTTTCAAAAAAGAAAGAAACAAAGAAAATTCCAAAAATAGAAGGAATAAGTAGAAAGAGAAGAAAAAGCCACAGAAGGGAAAAAACACAACGAAAGAAAGAAAGAAAGAAAGAAAGAAAGAAAGAAAGAAAGAAAGAAAGAAAGAAAAAAAATAAGAAAGAAAGAAAGAAAGAAAGAAAAAAAGAAGTAAAAATCCCAAAGGTGAAGAATAAGAAGGAAACAGAAAGAAACAACAACGAAAAGTAAGAAGGGAAAAAAAGAAAGATGGATAAATCCAAAAAAGAGAAAGAATAGGTGGGGAAAAGAAAGAAACAGCAACGAAAAAGGAAAAAAAGAAACAGTAAGAAGGAAAGATCCAAAAGGAGAAAGAATAGGAGGTAAAAAGAAAGGAACAAAAACCACAAAGAAAGAAAGAAAGAAAGAAAGAAAGAAAGAAAGAAAGAAAGTCGGATACTAAAGAAGAAAGTACAAAAAAGACAAAAGAAAAAAGCAAAAATCACATAGCAATAAACAAAAAAAGAAAGAAAGAATATAAATTCGTGAAGAAAGGACACGAAGAAGAAAAATGAACGAAGCAAAGCACAAACAGAATGGAGGAAAAGTTTAAAGAATAAAAAAGTAAAAAACCGAAAAGTGAAAATACTAAAAATAAAATTCAAGCAGTAAAAACGAGAAAGTAAATGAAGGAAAACATAGAATACATTAAAAAAAATACCATAAAATTTGGCAAACCTAAACTAGCGAAGTTTCATCCAAAATCAGGGGCCACTCTGAAAGACTACCTTCCAGTCTCACTCCATGCATCCCACTCTACTTACCGCCAGAAACGATGATTTCAACGAACTTCCAGGTCTGCTTCTTGTTAACGATAACGATACGGGGCAGATATACCGTACCACCGTGAATGGCCGAAAGCCTGGCCATCGATCCATGCCCGAATCATTTGAGACATTTTAATTCTGTGTGGATGTTTACCTGAAATATTTTACCACTTAATGTTCCTTTGTCAACTACTTCGGATTCCCACTAATAGTGTGTTATTTGGGCGATTTTCAGTCAACATATGGACCTCCCTCTATCTACAATGTCACCTATGTAGCAGAATTGAAGGCATCAATCCCCACCGAGGGCAAAGTCCAAAGGCATCTGGCTAGAATTGTCAGCAGTAAGACATAAATCTGGTTTTGTTTATTTTGTTTTACGGTATATCAACCTCAATGGGTTATTTAATACCGACAACATTTTTAGGATAGATTCATATGAATAAATATGTATTCTTTGGTTTAGATTAGTTTGGTTTATTTTGTTTTACGGTATATCAACCTCAATGGGTTATTTAATACCGACAACATTTTTAGGATAGATTCATATGAATAAATATGTATTCTTTGGTTTAGATTAGTTTGGTTTATTTTGTTTTACGGTATATCAACCGCAATGAGTTTTTTTTAATACCGACAAAATTTTTATTGCTGGTAATATTTTTTTTTTTCAAACATATAATGCTAGTAATATTTTTCCTTCAAAAAATCTATCTGATAATATTTTTTTTCAAAAAAGGATTGCTGGTAATTTGTTTTGTTTTTTTTTTTTTTGTTGCCTAAAATTTATTACTGATAATAATGTATTAATAGTAACATTTTTCTTTCATAAAGTATTTCTGGTATTAAGACCTATTTTTATACATTCATAGTGTTTTGACCCCGATTTGGGGGTTAACTATTTGCCCTCATAGGTTCTTCCACCCCGCGTCAGGGTGTACCTTGGAACACCAACAATTAAGAGATAGTCCCACGCTCCTCAAAACCTCCTGATCAGAGGCCTTGCTGTTGGGCGTAGTTTATCGTCTTATCCAGAATGTGGATATAGTTTATCGTCATACTCACGACGAGGTTCAGGGTGGCATCGAAATTATGAGGACAAGGAACACAATTGTCAAGGTAGCGTAAAGGCGTGTGATAGATTCATAATGGTGTGGTATGTATACAATTGGCTTCGTTTTTGGTACGCTTGTCCACGTAAATACGTCATTACGTTATAATTTTCGATTACTGCGCGTAGCCATTCAAGCACACCGTCTAACTAAGAAAAAATGAGTTGCAATAATGTTTCTACCAATGGTACCATCGTCCAGTTGCATATTGTAACGTGACATGGGATCCCGGTTACCCAGAAATGGTTCAAATGTTATTCTAAAGAAACCTGAAAATGATGTGGTCAACATTACCCCAAGGAAGTTTTGATGGGATTTAGTAGAAAAGCCTATTCGAAAGAAAGATCTTGCATTTATAAATAGCAGGGAATTGTGGACAGATCTCGAAACGACATAGAATCTATTGTAAATCAGTTACATTATTGTAATATGGACGTTTTATAATTCTTTTTAAATCCATAAATATTTTAGTATTGGTGGCCACATTCGTAATACGATACGCAGATGAAACGAAGTACGTAGTGAAGCGGTCTAAATATTTTTCAGTGTATTTCTAACGGCTCTAAGGTAAAAAAATTATTATGATGAAGCCTGTTTTTATTTTTCTGGCCGTTTTGAGAATAGAATTTGATAAAATCATTTTTGTTTGGGGTAAACTTTAAAATAAAATTTGTTCCTGCTTCATATTAACAGGATGTCGAGGAAAGGCAGGAATTTGGCTATTTCATACTTATGTGTGAATTCAATAGTTTGTTCTACGTTAGTAAGTCTCTTTAAGGTATTTAGTAGATTTTCTTTGTGGGGATATATTAGAAAGATGTCATCTGTGCATCTCAGTTAAGTGGAAGTTTTATATATGGTTTGTTATATGGGCCAGATTCTAAAAATTCCGGAAAAAGACAAGTACACCGCTTATAGGGGATCCCATCGGCAAACCGAATTTTTATTCTTATTACAAATAGGAAGATCACAAATATTTTCCTATTTGTTTCGTATCTTATCAAACTTGAGTATGCAGCTAACGACTGGATGCCTTTATACTCGAGGCTATAGATAAATATTGGCTCTGTTCATACTTGAGTCTATATGTAATCATTGGCCGTTTACACTGGAGTGCAAGTTACTTCGGCCTGGTGTAGAGGGTAGTGAGGATAGTCGGGTCGATCATAACCCCTGGGTGGCGATTTCGATCCTCAGTGTAAGTTCAATATCAAATTAGATATTAAATTACAATCTAATCCTATTTAGTTCAATAAAGTGTCCAATTCGAAATACAATAAAGGTCATTAGAATTGACAAGTAGAAGAAAGCCGGAGTGCATAAGAGCCGAAATTTGTGATAATAACAACAAAGATGAGGATAAGTGTCCAGATGATAATAATGCAATTAATGACAACTCCCAATCCCAGAACGTCCTGGGTATTACGATAAACAACATCAGGGCCTCTGATCACAAGGTTTTGAGGAGCGTGGAACCCCCTCTTGGGTGCTGGTGTTCTCTAATCCCCCCTGACTGGAGTGCTGGCATCTGTCGAGGTCCCAGCTATGAGCAAATAGTTTTCGCCCTAATAATGGTCAAAGCACCGGGAAAGTGTAAAAATAGGTTTTAAGACGAGCAATGCATTTTTGGAAAAAGGAATATTATCAGCAATAAAAATCTTGTCGGCATTAAATAACCCATTGAGGTGTTGATATACCGTAAAACAAACCAAACCTGACCAATGCCAGAAATTCAGATAGAATAAGAAAGATGGTGACAAATGTCCAGATGTGAATACTATCTAATAAATAATTTAAGGACAGGTTAGAAATTCAACCACCACCACCACTACCACCACCACCACCACCACCAACAACAACAACAACAACAACAAAAACCTACCAAAAACAGCAACATCCGCTCCATACTATATGATGTGAATTTACTACTCTGCAGTGTATGTTGTCGACGTATTTTCAAATCCGAGGACAATCTTATTAGTGTACTTTTTTGTTGTTAAAACTAAATAACATAGCACAAATTAAATAAAAATAGTACAACGATATAGCATCTAATGTGAATGGAAATCATTACTTAACAGTCATGTTCAACCTGACAATCTCGTTAAATATTACCCCACGACAAAATGTTTCAAGCTAACTTTTGCTTGCCAAAAGCCACAACGATATAACCACCAAAAAGGCTGGAATTCACAACACAAGGCCAGTAATGCTTTGCCTGATTAGTACATGAAAAATGGGGATGAAAAAATAAAAAAAGCCTCATTGATAGAGAGGCGATTACAGCTCTCCACGATTACTTTAAAAGAGTTACTTAAAATAAAAGCTTCGCATCTTTTGCTCAAGAAGAAAGAGTAGAATGCTATTAGTAGAAATTAGTATCCTTCATTAGTTCACTAATCCTGATCAGTTTTACAGATTTTAAGCGCTAATCCATCGAATTATCGTCAAATCTTTCCGTAAACTTTTTCAGATTAAACTAACCAATAGAATCACATTTTTTCAAATTAAACTAACCAATAGAATCACATTTTTCAGATTAAACTAACCAATAGAATCACATGCATTTTGCCAATGAGGTTCATTTTATAGTCATTGTCATTTCCGTCAATATCATTATTATAATAAGTACTATGTTGTATGACCTTTCTGGTTAAACTCTGTACAAGTTTTAATCTCGATTGATCAAAATTTCAGGTTAGAATACTTTTACCGTGGATAATAAAATTACTTTGAGGATCAAAGCGGAAATGGCAACGCATTCGCTGCAGATTTGACATCGGCATGTGTCGACTGACATTTGAACTTTTCGTGTTATGTATTATTGAAAAGCCATAACTCAAGGGTATGGAGTACCTTCCCTGACCTCGCGTAGGCAATGCTCAGCGATGAGGACTTGATTAAAGAACAAATGTGGTCACGTAACACAATGATATTTAGTTCAGAATCGATACATTAGGCACTATTCAAGAGCATTGTTATGCTATCTATTTACAAAGCTTACTATAGCACAAGGCCAAATAACTGAAAATGAAGGAGAGAAGACCTTGCTGTGCCAATCTTCTAAACGATAAAATCTATAATTTAAAAATCTTTCTTTTAACAGATCTCAACCATCAGCTAGTATAAAATATACATATATTTTAATCACACTTTAGGAAATATTTACTAAGGTAAGTTAAGTCTGGTACAAGGTTACAACTATGGGGACCTAGTGAAGATTAAAACCATTTCATCAACGCCGAAATGGTTAAGTACTTTACATCCCATGATCTGCTCTCTGACAAGCAATATGGTTTCCGCTTTCCCGATCTACAGCTGATGTGCTCACGGCTATAACTGAATCTATTTATCAAGCACTTGACAATAACAGATAAGCTCGTGTCGTGGCTCTTGATATCTCTAAAGCGTTTAATAGGGTTTGGCATGCCGGCCTCCTTCGTAAGATTTAAGGGATACGGTATTTCAGGATGATTATTTGATTTAATATAATCATTCCTGTCAAACCGTGTAATGAAGTCCGTCCTTAACGGATTCTCATCCAGTTCCTTTCTCACAAACGCGAGTCTTCCCCAAGGCTCTTTCCTGGGTCCAACACTGTTCTTTATCTTCATTAACGATATTCCCGATGTCATCAGTTCCCAAGTAGGCATTTATGCGGACGACACTACTATTTACTCCTGCCTAAATAGCAAATCTGTAATCGCTGACAAAAATAACCTAGCCGTTGCTCTCGAAAAGGATCTGCAATCAGTTGTTAACTGGGGCAAGAAATGGCTTGTTAACTTTAATGCCTCAAAAATAAAACTGGTCTCTGAACTCTCCCTGCTTTCCATTAAAATGTCTGATGCTCAACTCCACGAGAGCACCTCTTTGCGACTGCTTGATCTCACACTATCCGCTGACCTGAGATGGAATAATTGCATTGAATCAATAGCTTCATCTACCGCAAGGAGAGTTGGTTCTCTATGTCGTGCCAGAAAGTTTTTCTCGTCCGAA